CCACCGAGACGGACAAGGCCGAGTCCGAGTTCCGACGCATTGTCGCGATGGAGAAGCTCGTCGCGCAGGTCACTGGTCCGCCAATGGCGCTGCTCGTCTATGAAAAGGTGAGCCGCGTCCACGAGCTCTTTGCGGCCAACAGCCGGCGCGAGATCGAGTCCGGGACCGCGCCCCTCGGCACCGAGGCCGCCTTGTCGCCGGACGTGCTGCACTTCTTCGCCGACCACCTCAAGCGCAAGTACGCGGTGTTTCTGATCCTGGCGCTCGCGCATGGCATTGCGGAAGAGTACATCCGAGAGGCGCATGAGCGCATGTGTGCCGAGAACGAAGCGACGTTTGCAGGCGTCGGCGCGGGCACCGGCGACGAGCTCCAGCAGGTGCGCGATGGCCAATATGGGTTTGCCGACGACGCGTCGATCGACTTGTACGACAAGTACCGCACCGCGGCGCTCAACTACTACCGCATGAACTACGGCGACCCGTCCGCGGCCGAGGAGGAAGACGCGATCATGCACCTGCCCGTGATGCTCCACGTCGCCCTCATTCGGCAGGAGCGCGACGAGGCGTCGGCGCTGCTCGAGATTCTCCAGACCGTCAAGCGCCGCCTTTTAGAGCACACGGCGTCCGAAGCCGCGTCCAACAACGAATCGACGACGTGACAGAGTTTCGTCGGAGTCGCCATAAGATATAGCAAAGGTGTTGGTTGCACTAACGTTATCTTGACGGTGTACAGGAGACGAACACAAACAGTGCAAGTAAAGGAAACAGGATTTATACGTAGAGCGATGGGCGTGGCAAACGAAACGTGCGTGCCCTTCTCAGAGCGACTGTGAGGAGAATGAGGGTCTCGGGTTGCAGCAAAAAGAGCAAAAGGACAGGCACCGAAGACGGAGTGTTTTTTGTACAACTCCTCAGCCGAAAGTGTAGTTTCTGGTGATGGATTGCTGCAATGTGCCTTGCTTTTCATCGACGCACACAGTACCAGACAGAATTTTAGACCACACTTCGAACCTTGCTGCGTACCTTCTTTTTCGGCACACGTTGAGGACAAAAAATACATTTGGATACTGCGACCACAGGGAGATGAGCGCCGAACCTGTATTGCTTTGCTTTACTCGCCATTTATTAATCCACTCTCCTGCCTACGAAGACTATTGCTTGGGGTCGACGGCGGTCATCTGTACGTGTGCACACGATATTATTTCCGCACGGGTGATGTTGGGTGATGTTCAGTGGGTGATGTTGGTGCTTTTTCGCGTTGGAGAGCCGCCAAGTCAAGAATGCGTTGTTATCGAGTAAAGCAAAGCAATCCTGGTTCGGCGCTCATCTCCCTGTGGTCTCAGTATCCAAATGTATTTTTTGTCCTCAACGTGTGCCGAAAAAGAAGGCGCGCAGCAAGGTTCGAAGTGTGGTCTAAAATTCTGTCTGGTACTGTGTGCGTCGATGGGAGGCAAGGCACTTTGCAGCAATCCATCACTAGAAACTACACTTTCGGCTGAGGAGTTGTACAAAAACACTCCGTCTTCGGTGCGTGTCCTTTTGCTCTTTTTGCTGCAACCCGAGACACCGGCCCTCATACTCCTTACAGTCGCTCTGAGAAGGACATGAACACTTGTCCAAAGCTCAACTCGAGGGGTTTACTCCCTTTGCTTACGTGCACCGCAACACACAACGGAGACTGCCCACGCAGACAGTTGGACATTACGATATCTCATGCACGGTTCCTCCAGCGACCTCGTTGGCAGCGATCTGCACGTGCAGGTCTTGCACGAGCCGGCGAAAGCCAGGGTCGTACATAAACATGGACGCCATCTCGTCCAGCGACGGCGGGTCAGCCTCGTTGTCGGTGGCGGCAGGCATGGCCGCAGCTGCGGGCAGCAGGCGGCAGTCGGGAAACCGGATGCGGAGCTGGTCGATGCATGCGTCGACACCGACGCTGTCTGCAAAGCGAACGCTACACACAGACTGTCGCGACACGAGGCGATCATGCTGATGAGGAGGGTACGTTGTCTCGTGGGCGTCGGGGAGGTAGAGCCGGAGGAGCCGTCGCTTCTGCACGAGATGGTCGGGCGCGGGCAGGCGCTGGCCCGCGATGGCCACGCCGTCCGCGTCGATGCGCAAAAGCACCTTCTTCCGGAGCACTTGTAGCCCGCTCGGGCCATGCTGGACGAGCTGGACGCGGAAGGTCGACGACGTTTCCATGGCAGCGTCAAGAAGGCGATTGGCAGAAATGGGCCGCGAATCTTTGGCACACGCGAATGAAACGTCATGAAATCCTGTCTTTTGCGCCAATGGCCTACCGTCACTGCGATGGACCAAGGAAGATCGCCGGGAGGAGAGCGAATGAAGCTACTTCTTTCGCTGCACGCCCATGGACGGACGGTGCTCAACTTCAAGCAGACTTAATTTGGCGGCAGCGAGCACCACATGCTGCCACGTACGCCCATGTGTAACCTTGAAAGCTATTGCAGCTTGGCCCTCTAAAGGCGAGGCGACGAACTCGAAATGACAGCCCTCGAGACGAGACGCGCTCCAGCGTCGATTGATGGCCTGCTCCTCGTCGACGCAGTGTAGTAGCTTGCGTGCGCAATCAGATGCCAACCGCGACCGCTGACCAGATCCAGGTGGACTGCGATTACCAGACGCGATCAAGACCCGCGCGACAACAACAGCACTTGCCATGGTCCTCGCAGCAGGCATGAGTATATCATCAACGGCGCTACTGCCAGTGCCGGCTCGTGAGTATATAAATATTGGTTGTTGGTGTACAATATATTGACATGAAATATTCTACCATTGCGTTGACATGGCGTTTCGAATCTGTTCCTGTGCATTTTATTTTATAGGATATCAATTCCATTGCAAATTTTATTACTATGGCGGGCGGAGGTCTGGTCGGAGATCAAATGGTATGCTAAAATGGTGGCATATAGTGTACGATGTATGGTGCATAGATCCTACACCGTCCGCAATTGAAGCACGACGTCGCATTGGGCGCTGCAGCTGCGCGACGAGACGCTCGCGATCCGCGAGGATCCGTTGCAAGCGATTGAGCAATGCAGACGCCGCAACTGCCCGCTGCCTGCTATTAAGTATAGGGTAATATTCCCCTTGTCAAAATCTCTCTGCTCAGCGCAGGAAACATTGCCCGTTAAATGGTCAACGAGGCGAAAACACTGCAAAAATCGTCGCAAGACCGAGGATCTCGCGCATTAATACCGACGAGTGTCTCGGATCCTATCCTTTTGTGGGCTCTCGATTATAATTCCTGGTCCTCAGTGCCTGGTCCTGGCCACCATGATGTCGCATGCCCATCGCGTCTCTCCATCGATATCGATCTTGTACGGTATGCGAGCGTACACTATTTGCGTCGATATTGAATATTATATTGGCCATCGGCCGTTGAAAAACGATCAAATTAATATTCCTCGAAAGAGGCCAGTTTGAAAGTATTACGCACGCTATACAAACGCCAAGAGAAATAAAATAAAGTCGGGCAGGTGTCGCACCTATACGACTCGAAGGTACGAGTCCGGGCCACTTCCGGATCCTCCGACTCCAGAGACGAGCAGCAGCAGCATGGGCGGGTCCGCAGCCGCGCGCAGCTCCGAGATGGAGCTTGGCACCGAGTCCATCTCGATGGGACTACACTCGTTCGAAGACATCATGGACACGGACTGGGAAGGCTACATCTGGAAGCAAGGCCATGTCGTCCGCAACTGGCGCAACCGATATGCAGTCCTCTCGGGCACGTGCTTCACCTACTACGCCTCCAAGGAGGCCGCGTCCGCGGACCTTGAAAAGTACAAGGGCCGCGTGACCGTCACCGGCGCCAAGAAGGACCCGAGCCGCAGCAATGGCTTTGTCGTAACGACCTCGATCGACAAGCTCTTTACCATCGTACACCAAGACGCCGATCGAGACCG